CGACGCATCCGAATCCGGTTTGAGTGCGTGGGAAGTTGATCGTAGGCCCGGATTGCCGCGTTTCTAACTCTTAGGAGGTTTCTAAGTTCGGGGGACAGTCTGATGCGGTGAAAGCTATCCTCCACATCGACTTCTTTTGAGGATCTTATGATCGCGGAAGAGATGTGATCCGTGATTATGTTTATGGATTCGACTGTGTCCTCGGGGGATGGAGTTGAATCCGGGCCGCAGGGGAGGATTGGTGGAGCGGCATCGGCTAAGCATTTGCCCAGCTTCTTCCAGTCCACCATGGTCCTCGTAGCTGTGACTGGGTTGTGGGGGCGACCGAGCTGCATAACGACAGGTCGGTGGTCTGAGTCGAGCTCTGACATTGCTTCGATGGAACGCAAGCGCAGAGTTACGTTCCTCAGCAGTGCCATAGGTCTATAGTGCTCGGACGGAGCGCGATGTTATACGGATAACATGTTGGAGTTGGGGGACCGACTACTTCGAAGGTAAGGTCGTCTATAAACGCGTCGAGACGCCTACCGTTTACGTTTGAACTGTGGCAGTTCCACCTAGTGTGGTGGCAATTTAAATCGCCTGCCAGGATGACGGAGTCTCCCATGCCGAACAGTGACTCGATGTCACTGCTCAGAAGGGGCTTGTCCGGGGGGAGATAAACGGATGCGATGACGATCGGCTGGTGTCCCGTCAGCGAGATGCGGCACACTGACGCCTCGATATGTGAGAGCGAGGGAGTATCGAGAGGGACAACGTGCAGGGCCCGGTCGATGAGTATCATTCCAAATGGTATATATATAATATGATCGCAAAAATTGCTGCAATAGCTCGCATTTACAAGGTGGTAGATTGCTAACATCTTTCGCAATCTCTTTCGGTCAAAAGCTTCGTTTACACCAGAGACTGTATAGAATTAGATGAATATTTGAAGTCGAGCAGCATCAACATTGTAAGCATTGCATATAAATCTCTGAATGATATTATAGATGTTTTGTTGTTGATCTAAATTTTCAATGGATTCGCTGTTACGGAAATTCTTGAAAGCTTGCTGGTACTCTGGATATTTTTTTAACGTTTTGTATCCCTGATAATTTAATTTTCTTTTCCTGAAGAACGCAGGATAAATCCCACAAATTAAAACGTGCCTCTGTCTAAGGGTGCCCCTGGTATGCTGATGTTACATGAGGCCCAGTCGCGTCACACTCCAAACGGTGGTCTATGGGTCGAGAGACACGGGGCCGAGTCGCACCACTTCTAGACACGTCACCACCGGTAGACAGGAGGCTCTGTGAGGAGGTTCTCTGATGTGCAGTAAAAGATCGCAATAGATATTTAGATCTCTGTGAGGACAGTTGATGTGCAGTAAAAGATCGCAATAGACTAAGCACTCTATCTCACTCACACCCGTTTGAAAAGTCGCTACCTCGCGCTCGCACCTACAGCGGGCTCTCAATGTGTCTGGCAAGATATAAGAACCATTAAAACTGTCTGGCTATTGGGGTAACATATTTTTATATGTCAATAAGTAACATATATAAAATTCAGCTTTTATAGTATAATGAAAGTATAATTAAAATTTATTAAAGTTTAGGGATGTCTGGCAAAGGGTAGCAACTGTAAAAAGTGTTCGGCAATGGAAATCGTGATTTCTAAAGATATTCTGGAATAAATAATAAAAAAATTAACTTTATACTTGAACGAATTTAAGGTACTAACTATTTTATATACCTTTACTGCCTGTTACCTGCCCAAGTAACCACAATCGAAACTCTATAGCCGCGGGTCGTTCTTACCTGTATTGGAGACATATACAGATAAACTTTCAGTTTTTATAAAATAACAAAGGTCTGGCTGTCGCGGGCTCTTGGGCTATAGAGATTACAGCATAGGTAGGAAAATAAAACAAAAAAGTGAATAAGGAGCAACAACGGTCTCTGAGTATTATTAGTTTTCTGCTATCATCACCTGGCATTCACGAGTGGAAAAGCGTATTGTAAACTCGCACCGGTAATTATCACCATAGTGTCTATTTCTAGCGCGAAGCAGTCATGCGTCTTTGTTTCAAGACTGGAACATCCATTATACAATATAATTGAGATTTCGGCTTCTTGTATCAAAGTGGGTGGCGATATGTCTATGATTTCTCGTCAGGCCCTGAGCCTATTAACCCAATAATCCAATTAATTATAATTATTTACAGTTACGTGAATTACAAGTTCTTGTATGTAAAATCACCAGCACGGTCAGCTCTCTTCATTTTAAAGAGCGTTTCCTTTAGAGATAAAGCTGTGCCTGGAAGCACCTTACGTAATATCATACTTCCAAACAGGTGATAAGTATTTTTGAGCTTTGATTTAAACATAACCACATGATTTTTTATAGCCCTCGTAGACAGACGGCCCACCTGATTGTGCGTGGTTACCGTCGCCCATGGACGTCACCAATGCCAGGGGCCGAGCCATGCCGCTGCCTTTTGTTTAGTACTCTCCAGAATCCTCGTTTGAAGAAGAACGTGTCATTGGGAAACACCGTGGAAGGCATGATGTGCCAATGCACAACTCACTCTAGGGACTTGGTTTAAACAAGATGTTCATATGTGATTGAACTTCCTGTGCTTTAGAGTTTTCCTGATAAATATTTGGTGTTTGTATATTTTATTTGATTTAAATATTTATTATAAGGTATTAGAAATAAAACTCTCTGCAAGATTCGAACCAACTATTGCGTGTTTATTGACTCTCCTTGTCCAAAAAACATTACAATATAGAATAAATATTAATAAATTAAGTAATTATTTGAATTTCCTAACGTTTTATTTAATCTTAAGCGTGAAAATGAAATCGGTGGTGCCCTATGGCTTATTCTAAAACGAATACAAACGAAACGCCGCTTTGGCTATTGCTAGTGGCAGCCGACACTAGCGTGTGACTTGGTGACCTCATGACCTTCCCGACATGACATTTATAGCTGACCTCTCCATTAACACTCACACATAGCAACTATAATCAAAGACTTTCGAGACCTCTTCACCAACGTTTGACCTTTAACATCTTCTTCAACACACAATAATACAATCTGGTAAACTAAAGCGACACAACAAGTAAATTCAGGCATACACACACACACACGTACTTAATGAAACACACATCCATTCATTTCAGTAGAACAACTAGATTAATTTGTAGTAATTCAAAACCCCTACATAGCCAGTTTAATATAATAACATACAACGACCATGACAATAACCTTCAGGAGCGTCACATATGAACTACACACAACAACCTTTAGTTCACCAGGAGCCAACTTAATACAATTTATGACCTTGACACTAAATGACCTAAGTAAAGTGACTCGGCTAGGTATGGCCACGGGGTCACTTAATGAGCTACGTGGCCAGCAAGCTGTGTGCTTAAGCGCGGTCCACCATCAGCTCGAAGTGGACTGAGCCGCGTCTCTCGTAGCGGTCGTAGAAGATGTTCTTCGCCCAGGCTTTGCACTCGATGTTGATGAGGACACCGGCTGCAATAGAAGTGGCATGATCAATTGGTGCGTTATGAATCGATCTCTTCAGTGGTGGATTAAAGGTCCAAAGCGCCCTAGGCAATCACTTTATCGGCGCCCCTGTACCGGCCATAAATGGCCATCATAATACTATAACTTCTAACTATGTAGTTGTTTTTGCAATTACGATGACGTTGTATCATCAAACCCTAGACTTTAGTAGACCAAGACCGTTGTACTTACGCTAATGTGCGAATGAAATATGACGTTATAACTGTGAAGAAATCGTCGATATGTTATTTTCTTTATTTATTTAAAAATTCTGAGCTCGCGCGCCCCTTGTAACTACACGCCCCTAGGCGCGTGCCTAGTTTGCCTTACGGATAATCCGTCTCTGGATCTCTTCCTCAATCCTGGTATTTAAGAAATTCATATAAAGCATTGTTTAGTTTACGCCATTACTATGAGCAGCCTTTTGACAACATATCGATCACATGTGAGATATCTTTCATAATTTAACATGAATAACAAATAATATGCTATTATTTTCTCTGCGTCTAAAAAAATCCATCGTCTCGCAAAAGTTGGTATCCAACAAAGTTAGCCTCACAGCCAAAAGTTTCATAAGGACGGTTTCCATTGTCAAATCAATGACTTTTTAATGTTGAATTAATAAAAAAATACGGTGTTATGTAAAATAAAATAATACTCCCCAGCCATTGAAACAAATCCCACTTTCTCCTACGTCAGGCGGGAATGTCTATCACTATACAATCGACAGTTTTATTGTAGTAAAAGTTTTAGGAGAACTCTCATACTCACTTCTAGGTTTCTCAAAGAGTACAGCAACGAGTGGGCTTAGATATCCCTCCTTGTTGGTGAACGGGTAGTAGTAGGAAGGGAACCCGCGTCGGGGGATGTACTGGACTGGGCCGATGTTCTCCACGTCAGCAGGGTTCTCGCCTTCACAGGATACCCACACAGTGTTGGCGTCGGGTTTGCCAGACTGTTGGGTAAATTTTTTTTAGCAGTCTTGTACTTTATTATTCTCACTAGTTATAATGAGCAATGGAAGTAATTAGTGATTACCGAAACTCAGTAAATTAATAACATCACAACTCAGATCCCATTGCCTATCTTGAAATCTCATTTACATTTATATACTAGCTGTACTATTCTTTAAGGCGAAATACAACATTCCTTCACGGCAGGAATAAACAAGATGGAGATGCATAATGGTACGAGCTCGCAACATGTGCTGCTACCTCGAGAGCTTAAGACGATGGTAGAACTGAAGATTTAGGAATTAGAGAAAATGGTAAAAAAAACAAAAGAGGAAATTTCTAGATAATTTAGATGATTTCATTAAATGAAAATTACGATTTTGCTATAGAAAATCTAACATACTAATGCTGCAAAAGAAATACACGTTCAGGTTTGCAAGGTAAAATAACAACTGTTATAAATATATATGGTTAAGGCGTAGACTTTAAATGACACTGACTAACTGGATTATAAGTATACTTTCGGAGAGAACTATACTTGCCAGTGTCTTGATGTGTTGCTTGAGATCCTCGGGCATGTTCGTGGGTAGGTCCTCGGTGTTGTTGTACGGCTGCGGCCTCCAGTTGTATATCTGAAAGAGTTTTCGTATAACTCCTCTTTACTATAACCGCAATGAAAAGCACACACTTCAATACACTCAAAATTTAAATAGACGAGCGTACGAAACGACCTGAAGATGGAATTTATTGACACAGCCAAGTTGCAATGACTAACGTTGGTAATTCTTTTCAAATATAGTTTGAAAGGCGTGTCGCAACATGAGGGGGAGCTAAGCTAAGCTAAGCAACGTGAGGAGGGCTCAGTTAGTAATGATGGATACTGGTCCGTGGCAAATGGTACAATGGTAAAAGGAAGATGTCAAGATCATCTTAAACAAATCCTTAAAATTGCTTCGGAAATAATTGTTCACCACCTTCTGCTTCTGTTTGGTACTCAAAACCTAGCAAATTGCAAGATGCATATAATTAAGGTAAGATTGAACCAAGACTGAATTTGAATCACGTCTTCAAAGTGCTAAAATAAAGGAAGCAACTTTACAGTACCTTATTGAGCTTGAGGAAGACGCAAGGGCCGGCTTGTTCGTAATTGTACTGGTTGGCTGGAGTGCAGGGATTGAAGTCATCGACTGGTACATCACAGACTTGCTTCTCGCCGAGTGGTCCGCTGCTGGGTGAGCATGGTACGCGGTTTTCGGCACCATGAGCTTCACCACTGCCGCTGCCTTTCTTACGGTATTCTAAATGAAAGAATGTCGTATTTTTTAACAAAAAAAATCTGCATTTTCTATTACACAATTGTGATTTTATTCTACAGAATGAGGTTGACACAAAAAAAAAAAAAAAAAGCATACATTTTATTTTCTTATCACTGTAGGTACATGAGTAAATAAGGAATCTAGGACTATTACGACCTGTAGTTGATTTTGATTTGGCTTAATCAGGCAAAATTGTACCAAGCACCAAAATTACCCATTTATTTTCAATATATTTAAATGCTATTAGGAAAAATTTACAAGGGTTAGACGTCCAAAATTTATTGTTCACCATAACATTAGAAAAGAACTATTTGAAATTAAATTATAATTCTAATGATTGAAAATGGATACTTACGATTCAAAAATTCGTCAATAACCCTGGCCCATTTGAGCACAGATCCCTTATCGTTGACCTTGTAATAGATCAGAGTACTTTCCACGTTGGCAGTATCTGGCATTGGCCTGAAGCCCAGACCTAATAGGAAAAAGGGATGAGTAAAATTGCCTTAGATGAACATACAAATAAGAAACAACTTTATTAAAATAATAATTCAAACATTCGTACCCTGGCGACAATTTATTTGTCAATTTCCTTTATTGGTAGACAAATATACATCTTATTGAAACACAGGCAGTACTGCCCACGGACAACGACAACGCCCAAAACACACTTACCTCAATACATTGTAAAACAATGTCATCAAATATGACTTAAAGAACCAACTGGTTCCAATACGTATTATAAATACGATTTCACTGTAGAGTTCTAGACATAATTCTAGAGTTTATAAGATTGGCAAGGTTTTTTTTGAAATCGATGGACTCTTGCCTTGGATGGCTTTCCAGGTTCACCAAGTCCGGTGAAAATCTAGTAAAAAATGGCGAAAAAAGTAGGTGTCTATAAATTCCAAATCATACATTATTCTACTTTAATTCTTAAGATTCTCAGTTTTTCTTCGCGACTGTTGTCATTGACATAGTAAAACTAATTAACACATCTACCTGCGCGTCTGCCATAATGAGCTACAAAAATATCGTTCCATTATTACCTGGATTACTGCCGATTATTGAACTGTCAAGCTGCCACTTCGGCACCTTGGTGTCCAGGGTCTGGTAGAATACTGCTAGCAGAGCAGCGAAGAAGCCCACCAAAATCGCGTAGAAGATAAGGTAAAACAGCAGGATCTTTGCTGTAGATGAAAACATTTACTTTACATTTTTCTGTTATGTAATCTAAAATATCATATTAAATAAGTCAACAGCATGTCTATCGGCTCAAGGAATTGTGCAGAGCCTGCATCTCGTATGTACAACTTCGACATCTACATTACATTCATTGTTTCAAGTGACAGATGTATATATTTTTAATGAAAGAAATGTGTTTTAGAAGCAATTTTGTCTCTGTGAATAAAATATCGAATATCCCAAATGTTTATATTTTACTATTTTCAATCTACGACCAATACAAATAACTTTAGAATCATTCGATTAAGAACAAATTTGAAACGCTCTAAAAACGAGTGTAGGTCAATCTAAACTCCGTAACAAATGCACGAGTTATTTGCTAGGAAACAAGTAATTGTACCCACTTAATGACAATTAATGAACTGAACCGATACACGCGTTGAAACACACGCGTACCACTCAAGCAATAATAATATTGGGACACTCAACATTTTAGGAATTTCTCAAAATGTCTTTCAAAATATCGTGTATATTATTAGTACTAGATCTACAAAAACTTCCTTTAATTCCGTTAAACCTATGAAATGGTCGTTTATTATATAGAGAGTTATCTTTTTAGATACTTTTTATTTCTATCAATCAAAATGTGCACCCATGGTAAGGATACATAACTGTCATTTTCGTCGCAATTTAAAATGTGGCTCAAAAACGAGCCCATTGAGTTTCTCGTCGGATTTTCTCAGCAGGTCGCGATTCCGATCCGGTAGTAGATTCTGCGAGGCACTGCTCTTGCTAGGGCTAGTGTTAGCAAATTCTCTCAGGTTGAGCCCGTGAGCTCACCTACCCGTCCGTGCGTAGCTGGAATAACCTCTTAGGCTACCAGCGAACAGGTAGGGAAAAAGCGCCCATTTCTGATTATAATCTTAGCAACATTGGATCACCGGCTATCAGTTTTAGGTAGGGAAGAAAAGGCTCAAAATCCCTTCATTTCTGTGCCTGGTAAGCAAGGCAAGGCATGCCTTAACGCGTTCGTCGCACTGGCGATTATTCAGCTCGCTTGTCATCCTCTTATCAAGTTTTTACCTTGCCAATTTGAGGCAAGTGGACTAATACTGTTTTGGTGCTAACGTTGAAAACTACTGCTATTTGATCGGTAGATTCAATATCGTCAGCGTCCACGATCACTTTTAACTCGTCGTTGTTGACCTTAGTTCTCGAGCCACCACGGGGTTCATTTTTTAGATCAAAATTTCCATCTCGCAAGGAATCAAACATTCAATAACGAGTCGTGCATTTGTTTGTAGTGTTCACATGTACGGACATGTAAAATTAAATAATGTTGTGACTCGTTTGTGCGGCATTGCTACCGTATAGAAACTCGTATTCCGTATTTCCGATAGGCTTGGCTCTGCCCCTGGCATTGCTGAAGTCCATGGGCGACGGTAACCACTCACCATCAGGTAGGCCGTATGCCCGTCTGTCTACAAAGGCAATAAAAAAAAAAGGTACTCGTATTTTTATCATGTCTTTATTGTTGAAAAAGATACTAATGTAGTGTGAACAAAACACTAATCAACAAGCAAACGACCGAATTTTAAATAGAATTCGATATTTTTGAAATAAAATCTATTTAAATTTAGGTTTTTTTGCCAACCATACATAAATTACGTTTCAAATGGCCAGTATTGTAAAACGCCAACTTCATAGGTGCGAAGACCTATCATGTGTACATTTATTGTAGCTACATCCCTCAGACACAGCCCACTCCCTCAGACACAGCCCACTCCCTCAGACACAGCCCACTCCCTCAGACACAGCCCACTGAGTTTCTCGCCGGTTCTTCTCAGTGGGTCGCGTTTCCGATCCGGTGGTAGATTCAGCGAAGCACGGCTCTTGCTAGGGTTCGTATTAGCAACGTCTTCAGGTTTGAGCCCCGTGAGCTCACCTACTAGTTAAGGTTCCGCTGAAATAGCCTCTCAAGGCTATCAGCTTAGGTAGGAAAAAAAATGTAGCTAGAGTGGATCTTATAATGCATTTACATAATAGTCTAGTTCTTAAGTAATTTTGCTATAAATCTCAATAAGTCATTTTCCCGTTTGACTATTTCATTCCTTATTTATTTTATTACTGATCTCTGTATATTCCATATTCCTTACTCTTAGTTAATACCAAGAATCAAATACTCGTAGGCCATGAGATTATTACCCAGTCAGTCAGAATTAGGATACTGAACAATTCTCTGAATGATGCCATCAATACATGAGCTCCTGGGATATTTGTCAAATTATCTGTCCCTCTTTATGGAGCAGTTCCGCACAGCTTTATGCTTATCGCCGAAATAAATGTTTGGAAATTCTGGGCTGCGGAGGGACTTAGCTTCTCTTTGTTTTTGAACCGTACATTCCAAAGCAATCCGCTTTGAGGAATTGTTCGTGATGATCCTTTATAGCAACGCACTTTCCACCATCAGAGCAGATTTCATCCATACCAGCTGGAACCGATGCCTGCGTCTACAGTGTATTTCTTTTTTGCTATATCCGGCTTTGGAATGAATTCCTCTCAAGTGTTTCTCGAGCGGTATGATATGTCCTTCTTCAAACGAGGCTTGCGGAGAGTCACGTCGATACTAACCGCTCCGATATTCTCTAATATATGTTTTAAACATATATAATAAAATGTGGTCGTCGTATACAATAACTAATCTTATTCAGACCTCATCATGCGAAAACGATGACGCACTTAACCCCGCAGGGCACAACGACCGGATTTTTATACAAAATTATTAATAACTTCCTAAATATCAACCGCTGTTGGAAACTATCGACACAAGCGGTGACCCTTGTCTACCAGGAGATAAGAGCGGAGCTGGCCAGCAATCTGAAGTTTAGTTCTGAAGGTTTTGTTGCCTTGTAGCCTTTTTGTTACACTTTTGCTAACGAGTCCTTAGAGGGTATCACGACTGTGTCATTTTAATTAGTGTCCTAACAATTAGAATGTTTCTAAGTGATGTTTTGCAATGTGGCCAGGTGATGCTGTCGATTGTGTTGTAACGGTAGTAATATAATTGCTTTGATGGCTAAAAGAGTTCACAGCGCATTTGGTGTTAAGAAGTTACCGGAGCCCAGTTGCTCGTCTTCCTAGAAGGGCAAAAAAAGAAGAAGTGAGTTTCCACAGCACTCTTCCCGCCACCCGCTTCTTCAGCCTTCCTTCTTCGTAGTAAATCCAATCCTGAGTTCTCGTGTGGCTAATCAAGCCAAAGTATTATTGACACTGATAAAATCAAGCCATATTCCAACAGTATTCGGATGAATTGTTACTTTACAAGACGTCATCTACATCTCTTCTTTTATATCGTTCTCTCACTACTGGGGATCGCGACCACATGTGACGTTCTTCTACTGTGTTCGATCATGGGTGGTACAGACTACCACCAAGTGCTTCTCTTACTAGGTCTGACCATCTGGCTGGTGTTCTGCCCACGGCGCGCTTGCCCTCTATGCGACCCGCAATTATGAGCTTATCTAATTCATGTCTGGGAGACTGCGTGATGTGTCTACATCAGTGTTAGTTAAATCTCGGCTGCTATTCTTTACGTTACGTTTACAAATATTATTAGTGACTTCTTGACTCAACTACAATCTTTGTCACAGTCGGTATGTTGGCAGAATGTTGACTCAATCGATTCGCAGCCGCAAGTTTTAAAACTGCAAACGTCTTTGCTATTTACGACAATTTAGAGGATGCTTTTCTGTGATGATAAGATGGTGGTACTTATGATAGTTATTTGTAACGATACCAATACTAAAACATAATATGACAAAATGACAAAACACGTTTTCATTTATGCCAATAAAGTGTAACCACATACATTACCGTCCGTTTTATTTTGGATCGCACCTCATTCACAATCGCGAGTTAATTAATGTACTTTAAAATAGACATAGCTACAAATTAAAGTCGTGTTGACGGCCATTCGGCTCGGCGTCGAAAGATAGTGATAGTTATTACTAAATTTTGTACTGTAATTAGTTTTTTAATCATCAGTAGCGATAAGTACACATTTTATGATTAAAACATTACTTTTTTTTGTTGTATACAATGGGGTATCTACCCAAGCTGGTAGCCTTGTGAGGCTATTCCAGCGTAACCTTAACTAGTAGGTGAGCTCATGGTGCTCAAACCTGACGACGTTGCTATCACGAACCCTAGCAAGAGCCGTGCTTCGCAGAATCTATCACCGGATCGGAAACGCGACCCACTGAGAAGATCCGGCGAGTAACTCAGTGGGCTGTGTCTGAGGGTTAATTTACTCGTCGAGCCCTTCGTCGCAAGCGACGGGTTCGACGAGAACGGTGACCGGTGCTTGAGGTACCTAAAAGCACCGTTAGTGGATCGGGAGGATCCGAGATGACGTGTTTTGGGCGACGTCGACTGCTTTCCATTCTTTCCGCAGGATCGGGAATGTAGTTACCGGCGGCCACGATGAGNGGTTAATTTACTCGTCGAGCCCTTCGTCGCAAGCGACGGGTTCGACGAGAACGGTGACCGGTGCTTGAGGTACCTAAAAGCACCGTTAGTGGATCGGGAGGATCCGAGATGACGTGTTTTGGGCGACGTCGACTGCTTTCCATTCTTTCCGCAGGATCGGGAATGTAGTTACCGGCGGCCACGATGAGAGGGTTCTCGTGTCGATAGGGTATCGAGTTTAGAGACATATACCGTAAAAGTATTCTTAGTTTTAATATCTACGACTCTCAAATACCTCAAAAATAATGTTAATTCTCTCCCCGTAAATGCTTTCTATACTAACGGGACTATGGATAACACAACAAAGGTCTTCTCTTTGTTCTGATACTTGCAAATTTGGCGGAGAACACGGACTGATGCTTCGACCGACTACAAAATAATCTGGCGCTCTTAATACTAGTATCTAGATTAAACTGTAGACCAGTAGATCGTTTTCTATGAAGGAAGGATTATTGGAGTTCCGAAGGCCTTTCCATTTTTACCAGGACAAGTGGGCGAGCAAAGCCTCAGCCAGGAGGGGTGGGATTTGCTGACAGCTGCCCGAGCGCCTCCAAAAAGAGACCTATCAGCTCAAGGACAACTGTTTCACGAATGCACACCAGATCGCTCGTGGAACCGCCAAATGACTTAGGACTCATCATACATCTGCCATATGAAAGCTAACATTACTATGCTAATGATAGTTCCTGAAGGTGAATTCTCTTTATGTAAGACTAGAGGCTCGCTCCGGCTCCGCTCGGGTCTTTAACAAAAATTTCAACGATTTTTGACCTTTTTGTAAATAATAATGTTTTCTACAAAGTCGTAGTACATTATTTTATTCTATCATCAATAGTTCTCGCAGGGCACTCGATGTAAAGAATATTTTAGGTATTTTTTTTACACCTTGGGTTACATCATTGGAGTTTTAGTAAACATCCCTAATTTTTTTCAAAAATCATTATAGTCTATGTCACTCGGGAATAGTGTAGCTTCCAAACAGTGGAAGAATCTTTCAAATCGGCTTAATAGTTTCGGATCCTATTCAATACAAGCAAACAAACAAATCTTTCCTCTTTATAGTATTAGTATAGACTACGTTTTAGATATGATACATTATATATATGCTTTAGATGAAAGCCGTCCTTGGATCGATTGCCGCAAGGACGTTGCGCGCGCATTCCAATAGGCCCGCAACCCCCCAAGACTCACGCTAGTGCGCGACCCGCGAAAATATGCACTGCATAATTGAAATAACGATACAGTGATTCAAATTATGCTTTCAAATCGATTCATTATTGATTGGTTAGAATACAGTTTTGGTGATCTTTCTTTGTGTGATTTAAAAGCTATTTAATTGTTATGAAAAATTTACGAGAAATCACATATATAAATGTGTATATTTATATATTGTTATAGTTTTAAATAAAACGTATTTATTAATTTAATTTACACACAAGCGTACGTACCTAATCTTTAAAATATGCGGCCACATTATTTTAATGAAATAAAATGTATACCTAGTTCAAATAACTACAGCTGGTTATGTAATGTACTAAAGAAAAAAAAAATCTTATCTTACTTTGCTATTTAAAATGCGTAATAAAATTCTAACAAAGAAAAGCTTTTGTAACAACTGTTTTAAATTAAAAGAAAAATGCTTCCCTCCAATTTTTGAATACAGAAGTTGAGTTAGCTTAGTTTTGTTTGGTACTCACCCCAGCTTGAGCCTGTGCGCCCGAGGACCTGGCCCGTCTCCGAGTTGTACAGGAAGATCCTGAACGCCTCCCATTTCCCTAGGTCCGGTGGCGGAGCGTAATACTGTTCAGCTACCTTGTTCTTGTCCGCCATGTTCACACGCTGAGCCGGACTGCGGTCTGAGATCGATTGGCAGCGCCTTCACCCCTGAAGTGCCGCCTCTCTGCCCCTCCAGCTCCCCTCGCTCGCCCTATATACCTCCGCAACCCCTAGTTACCCCTTACGTAATGATTACGTAAAGCGGCGCGCGCATCCAAGACCCCTGCTTCATTCCTACCAGTCTGTTAGATCTATCCGCCCTTGAACAACGACCTCTTTTGTGAAATGTTTCATTATTACAGAGACGGGTGAAGCAGGTCTTCGTTATTTGGATAAGAAATAAGGTTGCAAACATATTTATTGCGTTCGCATTCAAACCACTGCTCTAAGAATTAAGAACTGTTTTTCTTTGTGTGTTTGTAAATGAATTATTGTCAACACGTTAGGTCGTTAGTCTACATAAAAATTGATTTCATGTCTGCGCAGTCTTCCGTCTAGATTCAGGACAGCAATAATCTACAATAATATTACGATTTTCTTGAAGTCTAACAAGAATTAACAAGAGATTATACTTACTGGGTACTCTAATAAGATTTTAAACACCTTTATGTTTGTGTTTATTTAGAATTAATATTTATTTATATGTGAAACCATGAATGAGAATGTCGAATAAAAAGTATGATGATAATTAACAAATATATTCACTAAAATGTAAATCTTGATTCCGAAGAGAAATCAGTTTATAAATTTAATGGATTCAAATAATTTAATTCGATTTAATTTTACTTTAGTTTGTGTATCAAATCAGGTAGAAGTAATTGAATGACTGATTTATCGACGAACGCCCCCCGCTATGGTTCTGTGAAGCTTATATTTCGGAGATGATGTTGTGAACCTCTTTGCTATTTTGATAACTAATGTAGTTTTTATATACTTCACTTTTGACGTTTGTCTTCATATTACCCATTTCTTTCTGTTTTCTTAATTTTCTGTTTTTATTAAAAAATAATCATTCTCAACTTGTTTCATCGTTTATCATTTTACAGAGATTTGTTAGTTTGCTCATTTCATTTTGGTCCTTCGAGCCGGATAATAATAATTAATAATTAACAAGTTGAGAATGATTATTTTTTAATAAAAACAGATTAAGATTAAGAAAACAGAAAGAAATGGGTAATATGAAGACAAACGTCAAAAGTGAAGTATATAAAAAAACTACATTAGTTATCAAAATAGCAAAGAGGTTCACAACATCCTCCCCCTCGTGCAGAAAAGCACAAACTGGTTATGCAAACCAAGGTCAGTCAAGGCCTTAGGTGGAGAGCCTAACCAGCTTTCGTACGGGTCGGCGTAGCATTCNGTTTGTGCTTTTCTGCACGAGGGGGAGGATGTTGTGAACCTCTTTGCTATTTTGATAACTAATGTAGTTTTTATATACTTCACTTTTGACGTTTGTCTTCATATTACCCATTTCTTTCTGTTTTCTTAATTTTCTGTTTTTATTAAAAAATAATCATTCTCAACTTGTTTCATCGTTTATCATTTTACAGAGATTTGTTAGTTTGCTCATTTCAGATGATATGATGAAGCTTATATTACATTTGTATGACCCGTTAAAAAAAAAAAGTTTTCTATATTCCACAATAAAATAAGGCCTCATTCTCAATAACTCAAACTTTACCACAATTAGGTACTTCTTGATACAAATAATATTTAAAAAATACACGATTACAGAGAATCCAAGGTATAGGGTAAAGTTAGTATACGGAAACCTTATTTTTTAATGAGATTAATATGGAACTCTGCATAAATAATGTTTAATGTATGAAACAACTGACTACAAGTATGTATATACACTTCCAATCACCCTCTTTGGCTAATCAATAACCTGGGACCGGAAGGTGAAGTATCTGGGAGTCACCCTGATTGCTGCCCTTGAGCTGTTAGGTTTCCTTCTGTGGACTCGGGCAGCTGTTAGCAGATCCTTCCGCTCCCGGCTGAGCCCATGCACGCCCATCTGTACTGGCGTGTCCAGCAGGATTCCACCAGTATTCCCTCTCTCCAAAAACAGTTATGTAGGTACACCATTCACACGTTTCCGAAAACACAATTTTCGATATTATATTTTATTCTGAACGTTGAAGAGCTGAGTGTTCACAAAAATTAACAACTCGTAATACTAAAACTAATAGGAAAGTAGGTCCGTTATCAAAGGCCAAAGAAAAACTGAACAGTTTGAGTTTGAAATATTATTAGATGGGCTAGTTCGGGTGTGTGTGGGTGTGTTTTTTTTGGATATTATAACGCGGCGAATTTAAAATTGTAATGTTATTAAAATTTATTATAATATTAAACAAGAATCATTATTTATTCATCCAACACTTATTTTATAACACGTGGGATTCTCTTCCTCTTTTTCTTTTTTGGTCAATTGGCTTCTTGCGATACCATCGTTGCCAGTGTCTAGCTTGTAAAAGCTTGTATTACTGGTGGTAGGACCTCTTACTCGTAGTAGGACCTCTTGTGATTCCGCGCGGGTAGGTACCACCACCCTGCCTATTTCTGCCGTGAAGCAGTAATGCGTTTCGGTTTGAAGGGTGGGGCAATCGTTGTAACTATACTGAGATCTTAGAACGTATATCTCAAGGTGGGCGGCGCATTTGCGTTGTAGATGTTCATGGGCTCCAGTAACCACTTAACACCCGGTAGGCTGTGAGCTCGTCCACCCATCTAAGGAATAAAAAAAAAACTTTAATTCATAAAGACAAACAGTATATTCTGCTTTATGAAAAATTACATGAGGCGAAATAAGACGAAGTTCATTAATTTGGAAATTTTAATCAATTGAGATGAAATTAAATGAAAAGAGATGAGAAGTGATGTAATAAATGTTCAGTAAAACGGTAGTTAGGGATCATAATATTATCGTGAAAAGTAAAACCGAAGTCAACAAACTTCCATATCTCAAGATACTGTTAGTTCATTCTGTATGAAATGCAAAAATCTAGAATTTTCTTCATAAAAAAAAGATCGTAATCAGCACAATATATTGTAAATATATTATAAATTAAGTATGTCGAAAAATACTTAATCGTCCGTGACCACGAAAACTGTTAAGTATTCGAAATGTCGGAAGTATTCTAATGATCTTAAATCATAAAATGATATTCAATGATTATGTCATGAAATAATAAGTTTAATTAATAGTAATAAACATAATTTATTTAAAAAAATATCCAATAAACTAGACTGAATACAATAGCTAAATGCATTATAATAAATTTTGCTATGTAGAACTATTCAGGAGTCAGTTTTAACTTCACTTTTTTCAGTAATGTCTTCTGATTTTCCTGCGGCATCAAGACCATTCAAAGGATGCTTAGTCCACGCTTGACAAACACAAGTTGGACCACTTCCAACAGGCTGCTGGCTGCCAGGGGTTTGTAACCCTTCATTTTGCCCAATAACATTAGTTATACCTTGAAAAGGCACTTGGGCAGACCCTAGTCCAGACCCCGAACCAATGAATTGTGTGTTTTGGCCGGAAAATTGGCCAGGTTGATAGCTCTGTCCGTTAAATTGGCTAGTTTGGTAGTTTTGCCCAGTATTGTGTCCATACTGCCCAGTTTGCACTTGTAATTGATTTTGATTATTTCCAACATATTGGGCTTGATTCTGAAATTGGCCCTGCCCTTGGACATAGTTAGGTTGGTTCACTCCATACTGGTTCTGGCCTTGCAACTGGACCTGATTTTGATTCTGGAAATTGTTCTGTTGCCCTTGAAACTGATTTTGAGCCTGACCGTGGTAATTTTGGTTCTGCGCTTGGAATTGATTTCCTGATTGTTGGGCGAAGTTTTGAAACTGTCCTTGGGTTTGAGACCCACCGTAACTGGCCTGGGTCGGAATTGTTTGACTAGCTGTAGCTGGGTACGTTCCAGTGGGCACAGCAGGATAATTACCATAATTGTTATACTGATTTTGGCCTTGGAATTGCGATTGCGACTGACTCTGGTAGGCTTGGTTGGCGGCTGGAGCCCATGCTGTGTACTGCTGATTTCCTTGCACTTGCGTTTGCGATTGAGTTTGATAGGCTTGCGTTGGCTTGTTTTTGTGGCTTTGGACCATGTCAATGACCCCACCGATTATTTTTTCCGGAATGTGGAGAACCTTTCGTGGTTCCAACAGCGCTGTCGTTGTGTTGATTAGTACGACTAAAAGTATGACCTGACGGGATGAAAATTTTCAGTTATTCCGAAAGCTATAAAACAAATTTAATCAATATTATGCCTAACAACATGTTACTGTTACTTTAATTACACTAATGACGATCAATAATTAAATATCCTAAGAGCGTATATTTGAAAATAGTTTCATTCCATTTCAAGATATCTTTTTCCGAACGACTTTTATTAATTATACGTAAATACTAGAAAAAAAAAATACAATTACTTGATATTTGAATAATGACGTAATTATAACACATTGGATTAAAACTCACAAGCGAGAAGGACTCCATGTTGATGCTGTAGCGTTGCACGTTTGTGAGGACCTCCGCCTGGAAATACTTTTATATGCGTCGATCTTTGAACAATTGGGACGCCTACCGAATTATTCTTGAGTCAGGGCTGTGAGGCTCAAACAAAACGTATATTTTCAAATATTATTTTGAAAGTATTTAAAATTTTAGCAAAGGACATTGAGGCAAACACCAACGCGTCGTCCTTAATATTCAGTGAGTATATAATAATAGATAATTGAAATAAAATGATAATTTGTTTGTATTATATTTGTTTTGTTTTATACAGATTCAACATCACAATGTATAACGCTACCCCCTGCGTCAGAACTAAGGTTGCAGTTCGCATGAAAATAAATCATAGTTTAAAAAAAAACGAATAAACACGCTTTTATAGAGAACAAACTAAAAAATGAAAAATTAATTTATTGTAAAAAAAACAACAGCTTCAAATGACTGATGAAAAAATGAATTTGCTGCCGAAAGTAAATAACGGGTCTAGCTATTTAAAATATTGAATTGTCATCGGTCCTTGATAAGTACGCCAAATTTCGAGTTAATCCGACGTTTTGAAGGGGGTTAAAATCACGGTCAAAGATTCCGTTACATACATACTAACATACGTATGAAGCTAATAAAAGCGTATTAAAATTAAATTAAATTAATTTTGTGCTACCATCAAATTGTATTTAAAAATTAAGATGGACATCTCCGAATCACAACGACGAATACGCTTAAAAAATAATATCTGTAACACTTTAGTGTAACTACTAATTAAAAAGAACCTCAGCGACAAAACTTCGACATGGATTCTAAAATAAATTTATTTATTTATTTATTTAAGGATTGCCAACAGGGTTTACAGTAAGACATAGAATAACATTGACATGTATAGAGCAATTGATAGCTGCAACTCTAATTAGAGGCAATCACAGCATGCGTTACATTAATATATCAACAGAGATTTAATAATACTAATAATAATAAAAAACAAAAAAATATATAAAATATAAAAAATAATAAAATATAATAATCATCATACAAAATTCACTTGATAAATTTGATGAAACAAAAAAGAATTTATTAAAAAAATCTTCGTTTCGGGCAGCCCTGAAAACCAAACCCATGATATATCTTGATTCGATGGGACACGCTGCCTGTGCGGTGGCGCGATTTATCGCACATTTGGCGCAGTACCGCTACTTTAGTGTTAACTGGACATCTTGTGGGGTAGCTGCACTAATTATTTACAGTACGCACATATTTTATTAAAAAAATTAGAAGCATATTTTTGCTGGAATAATAGCAACCGGTTGCATTGTATAAGCGAAATGATTACGATCGCTTCGTCTCAAGTCACATGTGCCGGTAATAAAATAAATTCGTTATTATTTGCCTACCAACCGTCAGCACCGAAGCGCTAAGAAATCGAAGTCGTCGTGGCCTAAAGGATAAGACATTTGGTGCATTCGTATCAAGCGATGCAACAGTGTTCGAATCCCGCATGCGGGTATTAATTTTTCTAATGAAATAAGTACTTAACAAATATTCACGATTGACTTCCACGGTGAAAGAATAACATCGTGTAATAAAAATGAAACCCACAAAATTTGCGTAATTACTGGTGGTAGGACCTCTTGTGAGTCCGCACGAGTTGGTACCACCACCCTGCCCGTTTCTGCCGTGAAGCAGTAATGAGTTTCGGTTTGAAAGGTGCAGCCTTTGTAACTATACTGAGACCTTAAAACTTATATCTCAAGGTGAGTGGCGCATTTACGTTGTAGATGTCTCTGCGGTCCAGTAACCACTAAACACCAAGTGGGCTGTGAGCTCGTCCACCTATCTAGGCAATAAATAAATAAATAATAAAGTCACGTATAAAAATTGCAATAATGAACCTGGTGAAAGCGAATTATTGATTAATAATTGAATAGCTGTGTCACGGGTGCTATCTTTACGTGTTACAAAAGATCAGAAATTGATTTCCAATAAATAAAAAAATCACTTCTCTTTGGCACTTCATCGGCATGAGAACGGGGTATCGTCTCGTTTATTAGTTTCTTTAATGTGGCATCAGTCGAAAAGACTTGTAACCGGAGCTGCTAAGCAGTGCCGAGATGTTGATGCCATTGCAGCAGAGGGAATGCTGATAAATAACGCGTCAGGGGGGCGACAACTTGATGTACTATAAATCCGTAAAAACTAATTCCACATTTAACAGTCAGACTTCCTCTTGAATATGTTATCCTCAATTACCAACCGTCATTAACGGACACCATCTCCTATCGGGAATTGCACCCGGATCCGTGGCTTAATAGACAATATGACTAAACCTTAGACCGAACTAGAAAATTGACATACAGAAAAAAATACCATCAAAATAAATAAATAAAAAGGCATTGTCAATAATCCGGTGATTCACCCTAAGAACCCGTTTAGCGTCAATACATGATTGACCTAAGGGCCGAGCGCCGTAATACGAATCCCTTTAGTCTTGTTTTAACAAATTATCGTACCATCTCGTGCGGTCAACGATTTATTGAATCAATAACTCGTTTATAATTGTTCGCCGAAGTAACTATGTGTTTTGTTCGCGGATATGTCTGGCCACCATTTGCAGGTCTTCCAAACGGCACTTGACACTTAAGCTAGATACAAAACAAAGTCTCGTCGCCCAAAATATGTCTTGACAGGATTCTCCGGATCCGGTCGCGGTCGTTTTAAGCTTTTAAAGGCTCCGGTCGTCCTTGTGAAACTTGTCAATTAGCTCATAGATACAACCCCCACCGATTTTCTCACCGATTATTCTCAGCGGGTCGCGATTCCGATCTGGTGTTAGATTCAGCGAAGCTCTGTTCCTAGGAACAGTGTTAGCAATTCACTCAAGGCCGCACGTAGTTGGATAGACTACCAACGATTATATTAAGGTTAAAAGTTTAAATTAACTCCAAAATCAACAAACAGACAGACCTTTTTATAATTAATTCAATATATATATTTTATGTTTACTTATTGCTTTAAACAAGATCGATTTTTCATGTTTTGGAGAAAACCACATTTGTAATATGAGCTTCCGTATAAATTAAAATTAATCATCTTTCAGGCACCGTTCACACGATAAATGAATTGTTTTGTAATGTTCATCTTCACCAGATAAGCCTAGGTCCCACTTGATGTGATAACGGTCATTTAAGCAAAGAACATCGCAACGTAAATTACATTAGGGATGAGGTACAAAGGAGACTGAAACGATTACATACATTTTTGGGCCCGAATGTAACGTGATGAAACTAATATGAATTAATAGATTCAGATTTATCAGTACCTTGCTGGAAATTATAAAAGTTTTCTCAATCTGAGAGCAGAGTTAATAAAGATTTAGTAAAAGTTAGGTTATGTTACAATCTCTTTAAAAGAGCTGAATAATAACTTATTTAAGCATAAGTAAATGTTTATTATATCCATTGGATAATCTTTTAAATGTCATATTATGAATGAATATCAATGTATTATATCAGGTATGGAATATGGAATTGCTATCCTACAATTCACACAGCGATCCATAATTTCAACAATATCCAATGCAACAATTTCAAGTCAAACGTGTGAGCGATCTTCGGTGTCCAGTGTAGAAGCAATTGTCGTACAAGGCTGGCAGAGTTGGAATCCGTAATAATAAAGCAGTGATCGTTGAAAATATAAAAACAGCCCGATAGATACACACTCAAAATGCGTCGAAGATACAAAACGAGTAGAGCAGAAAAAACTGGAAAAAACCAACAAGTGCCAAAAAATAATTGTATAATCTATGAACAAACGTCATGTCAGCTTACTGTCAAAGCTGTCATCAAAAATACAATCGATTTTAATCGATTTGAAATCGATAATCATATTACTTTGTTAAGTAATAATAGACTTTTTCTTCATTTATGTATATAATCAATTAAATCTGGCGTATACCGCACTTATATACAACAAGTATAAATCGCTCATTTAATTACTTTGCATTAATTACCTAGTGCAATGTTTTTCTTTTTATAATCCTGTAATCGATTAATTAAATCGATCACACCGCTAAACTGACAAAAACTAACTTTCTCATTTTTCTCCGGTCCCAGAAAAAGGATTGAGGTGATTTTTATTATTCTTATATAAAAAAATATGACAAATTTTTTAGACTACATTCCAAGTTATTACATTTTTGGCCCACGATTTTCCGTCTCCTTTCAAATTCTATTATTACACCTATATCTCATCATTCGAACCGAAATGCAATTGAGCAAAAATGGGCAGAATAATAATACCCACCTCATAGTACACCAGAACACATATTATGTTGAGAAAAACATGTACGCTAATGTATTACTAATTGCAGGCTTGTAGCATACGTGATTTCTGGTAAAGTGTAGTTACAAATATCAGCGAATCCATTATCAAAGCAAATCAAACAGATTGAACATAAGGAAAATGCTCAATTATGAGAACAAAGCGTCCAGAGAAGAACTAATAAAAACTAAACTACCTATATTTTGTGGTACCGTGGCAGTTGCGGAATTACCACGCTGAATAGATTTTAATCTAGGCTTTAGCCCAGGGCGAGAATTTGGATTTGGACAAATTTGGACTCAATTTTTTTTATGATTTACAGAAATTAAATATTTATGCTGAAATATATAAGTATTATTAAAAATACGTACATATATCCAGAAACTATTTTTGTGCAAATAAAACGTTTAAATGTGACTAGGAGATGTATGGAAATGGTAGTGCAAGGTAGAGGTGGAAGAGGTCGACCGAAGAAGACATGGATGGAGCGTGTGAATGACGATATGAGAGAGAGGAGTGAGTGTTGAGATGACGGCTAATAGAAGAGAATGGAAGAGAAAAATTAGCTGTGCCGACCCCACCTAGTGGGATAAGGTGGGGAAAAGAAGAAGAAGAAAACGTTTCCTTAGCTCACGATGATCGGAATATGGACGATATAATTGGCACAAATCATAAATTTATAAAGAGCTTAACAAAAAAATTGTAATTAATCTGATTGTAAATTAAGATATGGAATTGTAAAGGTCGAAAAAGGACGATCTAATTTGAATGACCTACTGGCGGCTAATGTGTAGATCCGCCACAAAAATAGGTGCCGAACTTTTAACTGTTTTACACATATAACACACGCAAAAATTCATTCAAGTCTACCTGCTGAATACTACAAATAAAACCTTATTCCTAATATCATATCTATAGATATATATTATAGAGATTTCAATCAGATTAGTCAGAGCGGCCGACCCCCGTCCCGACTCTGTCTGGTTCGTATATTCTCTGAACACTACATAAATCAACTGAAGCGAAGCGCCGAGGCCGTCAGAACCCCTACCATTTGTTCTAACATACGAGTGTGTCAGCTTTTTGTATCAGCATAGGTAGAAATCGCCTTATATCGCCTTATAGGCTATTTCAGCTTTACCTTAGCGTGTAGGTGAGCTCTCGAGGCTCAAACCGGAAACGTGTTGCTAACACTGGCCCTAGCAAGAACAGTGCTTAGCAGAATCTACCACCGGATCGGAAACGAGACCTACTGAGAAAATCCGGCGAGAAACTCAGTGGGCTACGTGTCAACTTAGTGATACAATCATAGATTATAGACTAATAGGCTTAGAACAGATACGATTAACAGAACATTTTATATGATCTAGTTTATTAATACAATTCAATATGTGATATAATAATAAAAAAAATTGGCGTAGAAATTAAACAATTATATTTTCTTGGTCCGAAGTAAGAAATATTTGGTATACAATTAAAATTGCGGACTTCGGATTACCAAGATTACGATAGAACAATCAATTCAGTATAAGAATTGTTGAAATCACTCACGAACCTGGCTAAGAAAATGACCAATAATATGTAATAACAATAATGATGTAAATGATAGTAAATTATCGGTGGCTAGAAACAAGGAATTTGATAAAAAAGAAAGAATATTAAACGATGACAAAATTCACGTCTTTATGAAGCAAAGAAGTAATTTGTAACTACGGCAATCTCGTTGAGTAAATCGACGACAGTTCATTAGTAGGAGACGCAATTCAAGACAATGATCTCGTCCGGTCGATGGGTAATCTCGCTATTTTGTTATGTCACTGGACTTAGGAAGCCGTGACATCACGTCGACTCGTAAGCCTTCAACACAGCCTCTTGTGACTCGGATTTTTAGAGGGTTCCTTAAAATAATTAGGTTCGAACGAAACCATGGTAATCAAACAGCAGTCGGTCTTGATCGTGTCGTATTGCTATAGTGGACTGAAAGCAATTGTCGATTTTACTGAGACATTTAAAAATTGTTTTTCGGCTACTGAAAATAAAGTCTTGTTTGCCCTTAACCCATCCTTAACTCATGTTATTACCCGTTTATGTGGATTTGGCGCAACATACATACGTTTTTACCTTTCAAGCGATACCTACTATAATAAACCCCGATAATGTTTAATTTTTCTGTATGCCTTCTATCTGTTACTGATTACGTATTAAGTGCACAGACACGAAAACATGATTTGATAACATCCACCTTGAAAGACAGTCAAAATTTCCATTTTTGCTTCTGTGGCGAAATAATCTGGCATCCCGGTTTGAAAGTTAGGCCAACTGTACAGTACAATTCATAATCAGAATGTGACGTCTGTGGGCTCCGATAACCAGTTTACAACAGGTAGACCGTAACAGATAAGTTTTCCCGTCTGCGCAATATGATAATGGATGATTGTGTTGACTGATGTTTTCTCACTCTTCAAACCGAACGACTGCTCACGGCTGATGTCAGCAAAATCGTGGTGACTACCAAAACCCATCAGGCATTTGCCTTCCTTTGGTGGTGACTTTAATCAAATATTTGCCTTCCTCCACAGGTAAAAACTACTCTGACCAGCGCGAAATAAATGCGCTTGTTCAACTCCCTATGTTCAATAAGTTTAAGAACAAAGTAAAGTAATTATGATGAATGTCAGGATTGCGCCTATGAGGGGGCGACTATGGACGATCTCATGTAACATGTGAACAAGAAGCTTCAACACAACAAAACTAACTAGTCTGGTCGTAGCTTAACTATTCCTTCAATTTGGACAAATTTGTTGACAGGAGGCCATCGTAAGCGACTTGTTCCTTTTATCATGTCGCATCGGCTGGTAAACGACCTCGCAGTCCTGATTCTGATTATTGAATTTGATAGACGTGTAAGTGCTGTCACCCCGTGAGACCAGATTTCAAAGTCTCCATTGCATTGTGAAACGAGTGTCTCAGTATCAAAACCAGACCTCATGAGTACTTTGCGGCAGAAACGAGCAGTATGCCGATACCTACCCGTGCGGGCTTAGATTCGCTCTGCCAACAGTATTACGGGACGTAAGTACGGGAGATGGACGGGAATGATAAGTAAATGAATGAATGGGAAACTACACTTAGGGACTTAGTGATAGGAGTAATTAGGATAATAATAAAAATAAATAAAAAGCAAAGCAGCAAGGCAAGGAGCCGAGTATCGTTATTGTGATAGTAGCTAAGTAATTCACGAACACTCTGAATTGCGATTATCAGAACGATTACCTCGGGCTCGGCTTCTGGTAAACATATGCACTTGGTGCCTTTATAAAGTCAGTTGATATGTAGAAAGAAAGAAAGAAGAAGAAAGAAAGAAATCATTTATTCGCTAAGCATAGTGAAAATGAGTTTTGGTCATTATTGGTCATTATTTGACATGCGAATTTTAGTGCAGTGCAAGATATTATGATATTATATAATTTACTTTTCATTCATCCATAATTCAATAAAGCATGGAATAATTTAAAGACATTGAGATGTATACTTGGTCTCAAAATGGGGCAAAGATTGTCCCATTGTCTTATGTGTTTCGGTTTTAACACAACATTCAAAATTCATACTCACTAATTATGTAAAATATTTTATGTCAGTTAATACATAAAGCCGTCCTATTATCCTGTGGTTGCATTGTCGTCATTTGGTGGTAGTGCGCGGACGCAGTCTCTACGCGTCCTCAGTCGCGTGACCTCTACTCTTAACGAATTTCACAGGTGAGTTTATGTGATGAATTATTTTATGATTTGCCTTGCCGACCACAAATCATGGTAGGATAGCTGTACCTTTGCACATTAGAGTTACGTGCCCCTCATTTTTTGCCATTTTTTTAAATGAGCACCGTAAAAGTATCCTTTACTCCAGTTCAATTTAAAATCGTCCAGAGCGTAAATCTTATTTGTGGATCCAGATCTTGCCACGTTCCTACAGCTCTAACCAATTCACATATACATCTCCTCACTTGCCTGTTAAAATTTCGTCGTTCAGTTTGCAATACTCATTCGAGTATACTTCTAACCCATCCAATACCACAATTATAATCCATTACCACCTTTTTTTATTGCATGGATTGGTGGACGAGCTCACAGCCCACCTACACAGACCATAGACATCTACAACGTAAGTGCCACCACCCACCTGGAGATATGAGTTCTAAGGTCTCAGTATAGTTACAACGGCTGCCCCACACTTCAAACCGAAACGCATTGCCGCTTCACGGCAGAAATAGGCAGGGTGCCGTACCTACCCGTGCGAACTCATAAGAGGTCCTACCACTACCAGCATATTACTAAATCGCTCCACTCGCAATTGTGAATTATCTACATTTCTCTACCTAATCGCTGGTATCCTCGAGGGGTTATTCCAGCTACACAGTTTGGTAAATGAGCCATGAGGCCCAATCTGGGAGGACTTGCTAACAGTAGCCTTAGCAAGAACAGTGGTTCGCTGAATCTGCCACCAGATCGGAATCGCGACCCATTGAGAAGTTGCGGCGTGAAACTCAATGGATTGCGTCTATTGGCTAGTGTGACGGGTCCATCATACAACACAAGATATTTGACAGATCCCTTAATGTCGATTACAACATTCTCAAGATTAGCTTTCATATACACAAGTTTCGAACAACAACATTCGGACCGTCGGTCTACCGTGCAATATCACCCACTCAGTGTACCTGCAGTTAGGTTGCACATCGAACTCTTGTGCACATTGACAAGAAGGAGGACCAGTACTTGAAGTGCCTAAAATCACTGAGAGCAAATCAGCAGGTGCCGCTTTTTCGAAGAAACAGTTACTAGCTGCATAAAGTGCTATTAAAAGATTCGATGATACCTGACAGATATTTAAAAATAAAAATTACCTATACAAAAATCATACAATTCATCAACTGGTGAAATGACGTTAGTCTGTTCGGGCGTTATTAGGGTATGTGACCCAGAACTACTCTAATCACTATTCATTCAGTATATACAATCAGTATAACCTGGGTCTATCCTATCACTGATTATCTGACTTTTCTTTACTTTACTAACAATGGTACTGGTGTTATGGCTTGTTTCTTTAAGTTTCTTGTTTTGGCCCGACCACGATTCTCTTGTTCTAAGGTTACAAGGGTTAGTAACTATATTAAGCTTAATTGTCCTGTCCCCATTTCATAAGAGAGCCTATCAAATGACAACAAGGATTTTCATGAAATATGCCTTCATTTTGGTCGGTGCAGATGCAGGCGTTCTCAATTGAATGGCATAACTTGATCATTCTATCATTTCTTCTGCAGAACCAGCATAAAAATGACGGTTAAAAAACGAACATCCGACCTGACGAGCTTAGAGCGATTCAACATGTACTACAGGGAGAAGGAACCACCTCTAACCGGATCCCAAAAAGTGAAACGGTTCATCTGGAACCCGAAGACCAGGCAGTTCTGTGGAAGAACAGGATCTAGTTGGTGTGAGTAGGTTTCTTTACTGGTGAAATCGGCAGATGCGCTGGTTCATCTGGTGTCAGTTTTTTTAGTGGAGCCAATAGACACAAATTAAGTACACAAGAAATACGATACACTGTGGCAGCTCTGGTCTACATTTGTTGAGGACCTTTGTGTGTGTTTGTGTGTGATAAGATAAGTATGCCTGCCTTAGGACCCTTTGAGTATTGCGCGTTGTTGCAATGTTGATCGCGGTAATCCCCTTATCCCGCCCGGGCTCTGACCTGAGGGTCAGTCCAAGCTGTTGAGTTCCACATACTCCACACGCCCCCTAGGCGCGGGCACCTCGTAGGAAGTTTGGCCTCAGGCCCAGAAGAAATGGAAAAAACGAAAAAAGATCTCTCGAGTGTACCAAAAAATCCCATGACTACATCTGGACATATCTTATTCGGCCACAGGCACTTGGTACCTATTTCTGAAAATATTCAGAGTCGCTATTCGTGTTCGTTTAGTTGTTTTCGTAACTAGTATATGAGGATGTTGTAATTGTCACCGATATTAGTTAAAGCTATGTAAAATGATTTATTACGTCCCTAATTAATGCCATTATAAAAGAACCAGACATAGTCAAATTAGATCTCTCGATATACAAGAGCATCTACCCCTAAAACTCCAAAAGACTTAGACATTACAAGTAGCCGGCGACACCCAGTTACCATACAACCCGGAGCGGAAGTCCCGACGGCCGCTGAATTGGCACAATGAGATCATTGCTATACATCCTGTGCGGCGCTCTGTACTGACCCTGGCGGGCTCAAACCGGACTAGACGTTGTAATGTTTCTCATAATTCAAATGGCTATGAGTAATCTTGTAAGTCTTTCCGGATTTACTTTGCCGTTTTTAAATGTAATCTCAGATTGACTGTTTGTGTTTGTATTTAAGCATTCTGCAGACAAAAGTAAAAGAAAACACAACAATTATCATATCATCCTGTCCATGTCCATTTCTCTCAGATACTGTCGACAGTGTACTATTAACACTATTGCCACACAATTTGTATAAAATGTAACGAAGAATTAGAAGGAGTATTATCTTCTTATAACAGCACAACGCGATACTCAACCTGTAGTAGGACGTAATGTCTATCGAATTCTGCCACGAAGCCGCTATGTGTTCCTAAACTAAGGTTGGAACAAACGTCATACAATTCAGATGAGAATACGACATAATTTCGTGGTCTGAGTTGCTCGTATAATTAGATCCATACCATCAGCTCAAACATCATTATTTCCTAAAGAAACAGAAACAAAAGCTCGAATAAAAGCAAAAAAACTACATATTTATTTTCGAAAATGCAAAAATGCATTGATATTTATATTGTTTCGCAGCAAAAATAGCATTGTTCTATTTTATCTTCTACTCTGCACTCGCCATCCTAGTCGCTATCTGCATGTGGACGTTCCTCCAGCTTTTGGATGCTAGGCAACCGAAATGGCAGCTCGAGAGGAGCATCATTGGCACTAACCCAGGGCTGGGCTTCAGGCCAACGCCTCCGGAGGTCGCCAGCAGTGTCATCTGGTACAAGGGAAATGACCCGGGCAGCCAACAGTTCTGGGTTAAAAAGCTATCCACCTTCTTAGCTGGTGAGTTTGAATTATTAATACTTTTTTTTTCTAACCGTACCACTACATTTAAATCCACCGGGAATAGTACTTGTATCACCATCTAGTTCAATTCTCTAACTAGATCGTACCCTCATTGAGAAATCTCATTACCACCACAAACTAATATGCTTACCTCATCTACTAGATACCAAAAGCAAAATGTTAGTATTATTACACACGTAATCATGGATTTTAATCACGCACGGTCGACGTTTGAAAATCTTCAAACACACGTTTCTAAGAAAATGTGGACCTGTGGAAAGATCTCTTTGTGAATGACTTACTAATGACTTTAGCAGCGCCTGAAGAACCAGTTTTATTGTAAATCCTGATTTGCGTTAAATGCTAATTAATAGTCATGCGTACCGGCTTTGAAAGTGGTCGTCTTTTAATCCAAATGAAAACTTCACCATCATGTCTCAAAGTCGATGACGGAATTCAATTTTCGGTGTCTATAGGCACTGATAACTACTTAACAACAGACGGACAGACGAAACATTTCACTCGTTGCAATGACATAATAATTTAAAAAAAAAGACTTTTTTTTTTATTGCCTTTGTAGGCAGACGAGCATACGGCCCACCTGATGGTGAGTGGTTACCGTTGCCCATGGACTTCAGGAATGCCGAGGGCAGAGCCAAGCCGCTGCCTACCAAATAACTGTACTGTACAAAAATAACTGTAAATAACTGTACAAAAAACTGTAGCATTTTGCGAAATATCTTAAACTAATAGGACAACTATTGGAGCAAACGGTTGAAAATCGGATGATATAAAAAAAGGCTTTAACTCCAATTCACAATCCAACAGCGTACAAGCGCGATGGCAAAAAAGCTGGTGCGGGCCAGAACATCCACAACTGTGACTTCAAGCTTCCTCCTCCGGCTGGGAAAGTCTGCGATGTAGACATCAGCGCGTGGGGACCTTGCGTGCAGGACAACTATTTCGGCTACCACAAATCGACCCCCTGCATCTTCCTGAAGCTAAATAAGATCTACGGTTGGAGACCCAAGTTCTACAACAGCTCTGACAATCTACCCAAAGACATGCCGGAAGACTTGAAGGAGCACATCAGGAACATGACGGCATATGACAAGAACTACGTATGTGTCAAATTTACTATTACCTCAAACTTATATTTGGGTACAGTTTAGGAAACGATGTTATTAGTGTATTTTACAGGTTGGAATAAAACCTTTAATATTGCCGATCAGTGTAGTTATTACTGAGGATTTCGTGTCATAGTAAAATTATTGTTAATGCGCTTCACGGCTTAAAATATCACTGAAAATTTATGTAATGATTCCAATTAATGCTGATTTTACTAAACTAGAATTATTTGCTTGAATAATATCGCTACGTATTTTTAAATTGTAAAAAAGAATCATTACAAAAGACTTCGTTCTTCATCTGTGTGTTTTTGGTAGAAGATGCTATAAATCAATTTTAATAAGTAGATAATCTTATTTCGTTGGAGCGCAAAACAATAATACAACACTTACTGTGTGCAGAAAATCTAGGTGCGATAATTTGGTACTGGAAACTTTTCTATGACATAAACGCTAGCCTTAAAATAATTAAAATACTGCGTCCCTGTTATCTTTTTGAAGCGCATCAACTCAAGTCAAAACATTTGCCAGTACTTCACTAAATTTATACATTTTTCCAGCTAAACATGGTTTGGGTTTCCTGCCAAGGCGAGAACCCAGCTGATCGCGAGAACATTGGTCCCATACAGTACCTACCTCACCGAGGCTTCCCGGGGTACTACTTCCCCTACACCAACCAGGAAGGTTACCTGAGCCCTCTTGTAGCTGTGCACTTGCAGAGACCTAAGAGTATGTATTATAATTATTCAGGTATTTACCAATAGCGGTAGGCAGCGGCTTGACTCTGCCCCTGGCATTGCTGAAATCCATGGGCGACGGTAACCACTCACTATCAGGTGGGCCGTACGTCTGCCTACAAGGCCAATAAAAAAAAAAAAAGAATCACTATGAACACACTTATATTCACTTTATATTTATTTTATTGACTTTCAAGCCCAAAAGCCTAAAGTATTAAAAAAAACAACTATAAATTATCCATGGATACCAGAAACGGCCATTTTATGAGACAAGATTAAGCACGTCCAAATCTCGATAGACAAATATCTTTAACAAATATGCCTCCAACCGCGAAAGGATAACGCATTTACCTTTATAGTAACAGGTGTCTATAATTTCAGCTGGCATGCTAATCAACATTGAATGTCGTGCCTGGGCGAACAACATCAAGTATGAGAGACTTGAAGCCATGGGCTCTGTGCACATCGAGATGTTGATCGAGTAGAGAGTACAAACAGCAGACACGCAGAAGATAAAGAAGTATATAGACGTATATATTAATAATTAGAGAATAAAATTTCTTGTATTTACTTACTTGTTATTTGAGTGAGATTGAATAGTAAAACATAATTAATTTTCAGAATTACTTAATTTCATTGAAAAACTCTTAAGTCTTTAAGGCTAAATTGCATTGTTCAAACGCTTTCCCACTATTCAAACCGGAGAGCTTGACTGCTTCGAATACGGAGTAGGTGGGTGGCATTTACGCACATCACAGTACGGTTTTTTTTGCCACGTACCATCCGGCTATGGAATGAGCTCCCCTCCACGGTGTTTCCCGAGCGCTATGACATGTCCTTCTTCAAACTCAGCAGCTTGGCTGTGCCCCTGGTATTGCTGAAGTCCATGGGCGACGGCAACCACTCACCATCAGGTGGGCCGTGCGCTCGTCTACCTACAAGGGCAATGAAATAAAATAAAAACCAGCAATGTAAACAATTCCCATAGACACTGAGTTTCTCGCCAGATCTTCTTAGTGGGTCGCGACTCCCACCCGGTGATAGATTCACGAAGCATTGCTCTTGCTAGGACTAGTGTTGTAAAATTTTCTCAGGTGAGCTCACCTACCCGTCCGCGCGTATCTGTAATAGTCCCTTAAGCTTCCAGCGAATAGATAGAAAAAAGAAAAAAAAAAGTAAACAATTGCGCATGTTTATAATGTTTGCGTGTTTGATTTTTAATACACAGTGTCATTAGTCGACAACGACACGATTTTCACAAATGAAAATTCTTAGGTTGTGGAAAGACGCTCACTCTTGGCTTGCGTAATTTTAAAATGCTACTTTTGTTTTGTATCCATATTTATTTGTTTAATTTTGGCGCTTGAAAAAACAATATAATGATTTTTTTTAAAACAGTCTGCTTTTTGTTTCGCCAGAACTTCTAAGCGGCTTTTTTGAATCTGAATCCGGCAGTAAAAAAAGTGCTTTTAATTTCTAGCATATTACTGACCATCTGTGTTAAAATAAAACATTTTTAATTTTAAATCTAGAACTACGTAGTTCTTTGCAAGATGTTCGATCATCGCGAAATTTGGAAGTTATCCGAGGTAGACAATAGGACATAGGATTTTATACAGAATAGCCCCTCACTATTCTTGATAATATTTTTCTGCATTGACACAAACCAAGTCTTTTGTAAAACCTAGTAGTCAATATTATTATAAATTAGTAACAGACGAATGGTAAACCGTCGACGTCGCCCAAAGCACGTCATTACGGATCCTCCTGATCCATTAACGGTGCTTTTAAGCACCACAAGCACCGGTCACCGTCCTCGTCGCAACCGTCGCTTGCGACGAAGGGCTCGACGAGCGAATTAACCCATAGACACAGCCCACTCAGTTTCTCGCCGGATCTTCTCAGTGGGTCGCGTTTCCGATCCGGTGGTAGATTCTGCGAAGCACTGCTCTTGCCAGGGTCAGTGTTAGCAACACTCCGGTTTGAGCCCCGTGAGCTCACCTACAAACGTTAGGGCGAAGCTGAAATAGCCTCTCAAGGCTATCAGCATAGGTAGGAAAGAAAAAGTAACAGTAGTTAAAGGTATGTAGTGAAATAAAAAAGTAATTCATCTATCACAATAGTTTAACATTTAAGTACTCTCGTTTACAATAAAACACCAAAAGATCACATCACACAATAAATATATATACACACTCAATAATAATTATCTAAAAAATAGCTTTTCAAAAAACCACACGAATTTTGCCGCGGATGTGGTCAGTACAACGCGTTCTAAAATATTTTAATCTTGCTAAAACAATAATTTTACTGTTTAATCTCAAATTTAATGTTAATGTCAAGTTAATGAATCCATGCCATCGAATAAAAATAAAAACATTTTTTATGAATAGTGATTGTTGTTTTAAAATTCGTCGTCCATTGCCGTCAAAGTATAATGATCGAAAAACCGGATATTCCAAATATAATTAATATTGAAATTTAATCGTCAAACTAGATTTCAAGGAATCTGCGACTCATGAAAGCCTTAGGAAAATGTTTTGTAATCAATCAAATACTACAAAATATGATAATTATTATTTAACTTATTATTAAAATTATTGATCTACATGGTTTTCGCGATCCTCGGAGATTATTGAAAACACTGTAATGTAATATGTAATTAATGATTACTTACTAAAGGCAAAAGCCTGCAGCCAACGTTGGTAAGCCCGCGAACTATTTAAATTTACGCGGCCTTTGAACCATTATGAGTATAAATCGGAAATCATCAAAGTCTCTCTACGCATTTCAATCCAACAATTATTCACATACAAAGCGTGTACGATATAAAAGGGCTACCAAATGGGAGGAATTAACGGAAAAAAAATTTTAATGGGTAAAAATACTAGTCTTTTAACGATTTTAGGCACTGATAGCGTACGCAATATTAAATAAGGAATCTAATAAGATTTTCAGTTTCCGTTGTCGTTCAAAGATCTTTCGGCTTGCGCCAGTCTGTAGGCTCCGTACACACTTCGATTGACATTTAACTGCTTGCAGTAAAAAAATCAGATTCTTAACTATAACTTTGACTGCCGTTTTTAATGTTATCGTGTTTTAAGCAGCGTTGTCTATAGATTGTATCTGATATTTCCGTAACTCAATTCCTATCATGGTATTCCATCCCAATTCATCCGCACAACTTTTGGCTCTAACACATACAAAGTCGCACATTGTGCATCACAAGCAGAATTATTTTCTTCATTGCACTCTATTCTTTGGTGCCTTCATATTCTGTTTGACGTGCTAAACTAAGCAGATTGGCAAATTTCATGAATAACTCGAAAGTTTTTGAAGATATAAACAAGGACCCGGGTCTTTTTAGATCGGGATATTTCTGATAATCGCGTCATTCCAAATGTACTTGCAACTATTAACGAATTAGTAGGCTAGTGACATGTTAATGCCATGGCTGAGGTTCGACCTGACTGCTGTCTACCAACGAAAGCACATTCACAATGAAACTGTCTACATTGCATACAACAACACTAAAACTGTCTACACTGTCTACAATAAACTAAAAACGCACATATAGTATTACAACATTTAACAACGGGTAAGGCACGGGTGCGGTTCTGGTCTGTGGGTTCAGTCGATCATGATCTCCAGGTGAGTGGAACCGAGGCGTTCCTTCAGACTGGCCGTGTATTGGATATTCTTGGCCCAGGCGCGGCAACGAATGTTTATTATCTGTTGTACTGGAAAAGAGTTTTTTTTATTTCATATTATTTCTATTTTAGGGATTCGGTGCTCAAAAGAATAAAATGGGACCCTTATAGTTTTTTTTAGGTTAGTTCTAGTTAGGTGACTTTGTTACCCGTCTGTCTGTCCGTCCAAAAACAATTTTCCTCAGAAACGGGTTGAGGCAGATATCAAGAGGAAATTAATACCAAATATTAAGGTCTACGGTTGAAGGAAACCACAACAACCTCAAGCTTCTCAGTCAATGCATTTTGTCTCGGATTAAGACAAGGATCACCTTTAAAGCGTCCGTTGTTTCCTTTTGAGAACCGGAGCTCTATAAATACTTGATGAATGAACTCACGGTAAATGGGAAATTAAATTTTTGGTGAATATTAAAGCAAAACCAATAAAGTATCAAAAAAATATCTTGAGAGAATATTATTGTAGAATAGGGATCGCAGCCCTTAAATTAAAATTACCCTGTTCCAAAATCTTCTGTTATAATAATAATTAAAAATCAAATAACACTTTTATTACGTCTTGCTCATTTTTTAACCGTCTTCGCCATATTCCTTTTCTCTGTCTGTCATTCTCTTCTCCCTTTCTTTCCGTTTTCTCTCACTCACATCTTGACGCTCCGTTCCACACTCTTCATACGTTCCGTTCTTAACTTTTTTTTTCCTACCTAAGCTGATAGCCTTGAGAGGCTATATCAGCGTCGCCTTAACTAGTAGGTGAGCTCACGGGGCTCAAACCTGATTACGTTGCTAACACGAACCCTAGAAAGAGCCGTGCTTCGCAGAATCTACCACCGGATCGGAAACGCGACCCACTGAAAAGATCCGGCGAGAAACTCAGTGGGCTGTGTCTGAGGGTTAATTTACTCATCGAGCCCTTCGTCGCAAGCGACGGGTTCGACGAGAACGATGACCGGAGTTCTTACCAATCCAACATTATTAACTTACGTTTTGGTGCCGTCAGCTGTACAGCCACCAGTGGGCTCAGGTAGCCTGGGGTGTTGTCATAGGGGAAGAATACTTCCGAAAGACCTGGGTAAGGCCAATACTTTAACGGACCGAGAGCTTCAACGTCGGCCGGTCTCTCCCCCATACATGAGACCCAAACTTTGCGGCGCTGTGAACATTTTTAGATTCTTTATTAAAGTTTCGTGGTCGAGAAAAAAAACTTTCCTAACACTTCAAGTACCACTTGTAATCTCCGCATGAGACCTAAAATTATTATATTTTAAGTCGTCGTGGCCTAAAGGATAAGACGTTCGGTGCATTCGGATCTTACGATGCATCGGTGTTCGAATCCCACTGGCGGTTACCAATTTTTCTAATGAAATATAATACGTACTTAACAAATGTTCACGATTGACTTCCGCGGTGAAGGAATAACATCGTGTAATAAAAATCAAACCCACAAAGTTATAATTTGCGTAAATACCTACTGGTGGTAGGACCTCTTGTGAGTCCGCACGGGTAGGTACCACCACCCTGCCTATTTCTGCCGTGAAACAGTAATGCGTTTCGGTTTGAAACGTTACAACTGTTACTGTATGTTATAACTGTACTGTATACTGAGACCTTAGAACTCATATCTCAAGGTGGGTGGCGGCATTTACGTTGCAGATGTCTATGGGCTCCGATAACCACTTAACATCAGAGGGGCCGTGAGCTCGTCCACTCATCTAAGCAATAAAAAAACTATGAATTTTTTATTGTTAACGCCTGTCGTATGGTGATGTGCATTGTGCATACTTACTTCTTGTGGGGTGGCATTTGCGATGTATTCTTTAATGTCAGGCGGCATGTCGTGGGGTAAGTGAGCAGGATCGTCGTAGAACTCAGGATTCCAATCGTACAACTGAAACATAAATATTCAACAATTACCTTCTGAAACGCTAATTATAACGAATAAGTGAACTCAACTATTGTCTTTACCATTATCGGCATATTTTAAATATGAATTAAATATAATAAACGTAACCGACAGAGATATGCAAAATGAAATGATGCTGCACGGGTAGATCCGATGACTTCAAGAGCAGAAGATATATATTCCTTTTAATACTGTATAAACTATTATATGTATGTATGTATTTGTGTATGTATGTATGTATATCATATTGTGTATATATGTATGTATATACTTTTTTTTGTGTATGTATTTGTAAATTAATATAAATTTCATTGCACCTACCACTATTCACTCTGCACTACCTTTGGTTGACTGGTAGAGAATGCAGGCATTAAGTCCGCCAATGTAAATTTTACATGAAGTGTAAAAAATAAATAAATAAATATGGAGCATGGTAACCTAAGCTGGAAACTCTAGATATATATAAAGGATTAGCTTGATCAACAGCAACCTTCTTGTTGTTATTGTGTTTGGTAACAAACACCTCTGTGTCTTCGAAGTAAGCCTAATTCCTTTTGCAATATTGCACAAAAGCGACTCATCTCAGATCTAGTTTCCAAAAAACTTGGTCTTCATCCGAATTATCTGGTTTATGGATCTGCAAAACTCACCCTGTTCAATTTCACGATTAAGCACGGCGTCCTATTGGCGTACCCATACCCTTCCTCCTGAGAGCAGGGCCCGAACTGACTGGTATTAAATGCGCAGACCATCAGTCTGGGAGGTTTCACATCGCCACACTCTATTTGGTTACGTCCACCGTTGGGCAGAAGACTCTTGTTGCGGTATGCTGTAAAAGATTATTACACGATTGTAAAATATAGGTACCTATTATTAGTTTTTTTTTTGACTAACTCGTTGGTGCAGTAGTCAGCGGCCCTGACTGTTGTACCCACGACCCGTGTGATGAACAGGTTTGTTTGCTCTTTGTCTGGGGGTCTATTATTTATATACGTATATATATAAAGGTATGTACGTCAGTCTCTGTTACCCATAACACAGGGAATCCTAAATGAAGGCTGGATGATCGTGCGTCATTTGTGCCCACTTATTAGTTGTTATTATATTGCTAAATGTTTAATTCAAGAGAACTTAAACTCTAGAAGTTGTGTCTATTGACTAATAGCTCCGTAGATGGTCTAAAGCTCGACAACACTGCAACAGTACCGACTGTTTTAAAAGCAGATAAAACGTCTCCCAAAAGTGAAAACAGTTATGACGTAAAAAAATTTTGACTGGTGGTAGGACCTCTTGTGAGTCCGCACGGGTAGGTACCACCGCCCCGCCTATTTCTGCCGTGAAGCAGTAATGCGTTTCGGTTTGAAGGGTGGGGCAGCCGTTGTAACTATACTGAGACCTTAGAACTTATATCTCAAGGTGTGTGGCGCATTTACGCTGTAGATGTCTATGGGCTCCAGTAACCACTTAACACCAGGTGGGCNCGCACGGGTAGGTACCACCGCCCCGCCTATTTCTGCCGTGAAGCAGTAATGCGTTTCGGTTTGAAGGGTGGGGCAGCCGTTGTAACTATACTGAGACCTTAGAACTTATATCTCAAGGTGTGTGGCGCATTTACGCTGTAGATGTCTATGGGCTCCAGTAACCACTTAACACCAGGTGGGCTGTGAGCTCGTCCACACATTTAAGCAATAATTTTTATTTTTTTTTATCTCAAACTGTAAATCTCGAATGATAGAAAACTTTAGCGAGAGCTTTTTAACGTCCTCGATAGCGTAAAAGTTAACTCAAATTAGTATGCAGTGGGAACAGCGCCCTTAGCGGCAATCGTAGGCAAACGTTCCAACTCTACCCAAATTTGAGTTAACGTTTACGCGATCGAGAACGTTAAAAACTCACTCTAAGCACACTGAAAATACTTGATTGAAACGTGCACAGAACACAGAGACTCTTAATCAAGATGAAATAAAACACACTATACTGACGTTCAAGAAATTCATCGATATTCTGTGTATACTTCTGGATGTGAGTGGAGTTGTTTCCGTCGTACCAGATCAGCGCCCCTTCTTCGTACAGCAGAGGACGGTGGCCCATTCCTGGATTATCACCTGAAATTTTTATTAAACGAATAATAAATATTACATGTAAATAGAAATAGTCGTCGTCGTACAATGCACAGTAACAAATATCGTGTTGGCTCTAAATGCGCCCGGCCATCTTGAAACATATGTTCTAAGGTTTTTTTTGTTTTTTTTTATTGCTAGGTGGATGGACGAGCTCACAGCCCACCTGGTGTTAAGTGGTTACTGGAGCTCATAGACATATACGACGTAAATGCGCCACCCACCTTGAGATATAAGTTCTAAGGTCTCAAGTATAGTTACAGTAGTATATTTTTTTCTCGGTCCATTTTCCTATCTGCGTCCTTCTGCAATTTGTGTCTTCGCCACTAATGCTAGATAGTGTAGTCAAAATTCAAAATTCAAAATCATTTATTTCAACTTAGATGTCAGTATGACACACTTGTTGAATGTCAAAATACAAATAACAATGTTAACTCTACCACCGGTTCCAAAAAAAGCCACAGTCCTGAGAAGAACCGGCGAAACAAACTCAGCGGGCTTTTTTTTTTGTTTTTTCTCAAATATTTTCTTTTTTTTAAATAAATAGAAATATTCACAATAAAAGAAAAAACAAGTCAAAAAAATACAATTAAAAAAATAATAATAATAATGAAAAATGAAAAGGCCAGGAGCGAGCGCCTCATTCCCACGTAGTGCCATCTAGTAAATAATCCTTAACTTTATAATATGCCTTGTTGCACAAACGTTCCTTAACAGTTTTCTTAAATCTATGAACAGGTAGTAGTTGAACGTTTAGTGGGATCTTGTTGAAAAGCTGTACACCCAGCCCCCTAAAAGAGTTGCTTATTTTCTTAATTCGAGCCGCCGGCAACGCGAGTCTGTCGAATAACGTAGGCACCGCGCTGTCAGGCTTGAAAGAAACATCAGCAATATGCATTTGATAATTCCTTATTGTTTCCAAAAGTGACTGGCGGCATTTAAGTTACGATATTTAGTATCTATAGACTGCAATTACCATTTAATCGTGTAGTTATCTAGCCAATAACAACAGTAAAATGCCGATTTATTCCACAAATTTTCCAGAGACTCTGATAATACTGACCAATAATAGAATCTGCAAGGGTGAAGTATGGTATTCTGTCGTCGACAGTGGCCAGTAGACCGCACATGCAGATCGAGAAGAAGATGATGATACAGATGTACATCACCAGATATATTAAGCCGATCACACCTGAAAATTAACAACATGAATGAATGCAGCTTACAATATAAATCAGAGAATCCATTTCAAAATACAATGTGAATCAGATATCAAACCATCAAAATGCTATCATTCAAAATACCTCATTAGCTGGAAATAAATAACCAATAAGTCTCTTGAGTTTATTTTAATTCATTAAGTACGGTAAGTACGATAGGTTTCGCAGCATAAATAGGCTACAATATAATGGGATTGGAAGTAATACGGGTATCGGGCTTTCTGAAAGTTCCACGATTGGTACCAATTTCGAGCGTATCCTTTTTTTTTATTGCCCTTGTAGGCAGACGAGCATACGGCCCACCTGATGGTGAGTGGTTACCGTCGCCCATGGACTTCAGCAATGCCAGGGGCAGAGCCAAGCCGCTGCCTACCGAATATATTTACTTCATTGAATATATTTATTTAAACCTAGGCACCAACTAATTAAATAAAAAATTTGGGACTAATATTAGGCTAAGCTTGTTTTAATGACTTCACACATAAACATACTATGACAACTTACTAACGTTCCAAAAAACATACACAGGAAGCTGACGCGCGGTCAATTGTAATTCGTTAAAAAAACAATTTGGCAACATAGAAATAGTTAGCAATACCTATTTCGAATCACACTGCTCTTGTCTATTTTTGTCACATAGACAGCTAAAAATTAATTTTGCAATTAGTTATGTGTCTAAAGCTTTATTATTCCACAAGACTGAAAATTGCTAATTATAAAATTGAATTGTAAGCTTAACAAAATTTCAAACTAAAATCCACACGTAGCGTTTAGCGAAACCATAAACTAAAACTGTTAGACAAAGAACAAACCGTATGCCGTAACTCAAACCCGAAGTCTAAGCCGCGTCTCGGCGCAATGGCTAAAACCGTTTTCTAATGTTTACATTGATTCGATTCCAGATTTATCGTTAACCATAAATATCAAGTACCTTTAAGGTTGTAAACATTGGACCTTGAAGAGCATTATATCCAAATCGGTTGGATAATGTGATTTAAATATTCATGCCCTTTACTAGTGATAGGACCTCTTGTGAGTCCGCACGGGTAGGTACCACCGCCCTGCCTATTTCTGCCGTGAAGCAGTAATGCGTTTCGGTTTGAAAGGTGGGGTAGCCGTTGTAATTATACTGAGACCTTAGAACTTATATCTCAAGGTGGGTGGCGCATTTACGTTGTAGATGTCTATGGGCTCCAGTAACCACTTAATATCAGGTGGGCTGTGAGCTCGTCCACCCATCTAAGCAAAAAAAAAAAAATTAAAAAAAAAAAAAAACTTCGTTTTTAAATAGTGAATCATATGATGACTATGCCGTTTTTTTAACATTAACAGTATCACCTTTGCGTTCTCTGTGTAGAGTGAGTGCGAGAAATGTGTCGTCTCTCTTTCGTCGTCTTTTATTCATTGCTTAGATAGGTGGACGAACTCACAGCCCACCTGGTGTTAAGTGGTTACTGAAGCCCATAGACATCTACAACGTAAATGCCGCCACCCACTTTGAGATATAAGTTCTAAGGTCTCAAGTATAGTTACAACAGCTGCCCCACCCTTCAAACCGAAACGCATTACTGCTTCACGGCAGAAATACGTGGGGTGGTGGTACCTACCCGTGCGGACTAACGCGAGGTCGTACCTCCAATAATTACGCAAATTCTAATTTTGCTGGTTTGATGTTTATTGCACGATGTTATTCCTTCACTGTGGCAGTCAATCGCATGTATGTAATTAATTCATTAGAAAAATTGGTACCCGCTTGCGGGATTCGAACACCGGTGCATCGCTACATACAAATGCACCGGACGTCTTATCCTTTAGGCCACGACGACTTCGTAATCAATTGTAGAGGTTGTGAATGGAACAACTGTTCCACCACAACATGGCTGCTACTTAATAAAAAGAAACAAGGCTGGTGAAATCTACCCAAGGTACAATCTACAATCAAACGGCCGTCTGGTGTAGTGGTAAGTGACATGGTCACTACATATAGAGGTCGCGGGTTCGAATCCCGCCAAGGGAAGATATTTGTATGATAAATATAAATGTATTTTCCAGGGTTATGGATGTATATTAAATATATGTATGTGTATAATAAAAAATCTTACATTTATTTCCGTTATCTGGTACCTGTAACACAAGTTCTTTACGAACTTATCACGGGACCAGTTAACGTGGCGTGATTGTTAGTAAATATTTATTTATTTATTGATTTATAAAAAAAAAAAATGCAGACTGTTAAAATTTATTTTCCAAAGTGCCTCGTCAAACGCTCTCTGTATCCGGTGTAGATTATGAAGTCAAATTGAATTCGGTACAATGCTCTTTTTTATTTGTCTATCACAAATAATCGTTGACTACACGTTTAGCGTCTTTGTGTCGTGATTGAAGTGATAATAAGCATTCACGCGCCTGGTCATCTATGGGCAGACATTCTCGTGTATGTATTTGAGTTTCTGTGTAGTTTTTGAAGCTATCTTTAGGTAGGTGTGGTATAAAAAATACGTTTTACACACAAAAATATGTAAGTCCAAAGTCGTCGTGGCCTAAAGGATAAGACGTCTGGTGCACTCGTGTTGAACGATGTACCGGTGTTCGAATTCCAGGCGGGGGTACCAATTTTTCTAATAAAATACGTATCTAACAAATGTTCACGATTGACTTCCACGGTGAAGGAATAACATCGTGTTATAAAAATGAAACCCGCAAAATTATAATTTGCGTAATTACTGGTGGTAGGATCTATTGTGAGTCCGCACGGGTAGGTACCACCACCCCGCCTATTTCTGCCGTGAAGCAGTAATACGTTTCGGTTTGAAGGGTGGGGCCGCCGTTGTAACTATACTGAGACCTTAGAACTTATATCTCAAGGTGGGTGGCGCATTTACGTTGTAGATGTCTCGTCCAACCAACTATGCAATTTAAAAACATAAAAAAATAGTAATGTAGTATAGTTGATGTCTATAAGTATCGATAAGCACTGACCATCGAGTGGGTCGTAAACTTCGAATATTTCGATTGTTCTAAAAGATAAAATAATTTATCATTTATTAATAGACTGAAATGTAAAAATTAACCCAGAATATTTTATTATTATCCTCTGAACGAATATCAATAAAAGTTTCATAACAGTCCAGCAATAAGTAACTAAACTGATGATGGACTATTAAACGGGCCATTTCGTGGAATCGATTTGACCGCTGTGGAAATAGCTTGGGCTAAGCCCGGAGAATATACGGTTAATACGTCACTGCTATTGATCTGAGAATATTGAAACAGTGAAACTCCCGACGATCGTGGCAACTGTGCCACTTAAGGCGCAAAACGAAATGTACCTACCTATATATAGTTATACAACTTAGTAAAAAAAAACAATAGTTTATTTTAGTCATTCAAAGTGATCATAATTTAAAAAAATTATGATATCGATTTACAAATTGTTTTAACGAATTAATTTTCTTTTATTTTTATTTTATTGCTTAGATGGGTGGGAGAGCTCACAGCCCACCTGGTGTTAAGTGGCTACTGGAGCCCATAGACATTTACAACGTAAATGCGCCACCCACCTCGAGATATAAGTTCTAAGGTCTCAGTATGTTACAACAGCTACCCCACCCTTCGAACCGAAACGCATTATTGCTTCACGGAAGAAATAGGCAGGGTGGTGGTACCTACCCGCGCGGACTCACAAGAGGTTCTACCACCAATAATATAATCAACAATCCTTCAAATATTATACAACAAAGCATCCCATTACGCGATTTTACAAAATCACAATCATCATCGACGATTTTCATATTTAAATCAACGCCGGTTAAAGATCAAATTTTTGAAAATTTCATTATTAGATTTAGAAATCGTCAAAGCACTCAAAAAATAGACAACTATGTTGTTTATAACAAAAATACCGGTGTGAATAACGCAAAAAAAAAAACATTTCTCGTTCCCCTGTTTCGATACATTCTGAAACACCTATATGACTAACTCAATGCCACGCAATGTGATGATTCTAGGCCAGTCATAAACTTATTATTACACGTATACGCTTCAAAAAAACTTTTAGGGGTTAAGAGGAACAAACGTATAAAAATGGATTGACTAAGAACTTGTATCTGCGATTTAGAAACTCTTTAAAATTCATCAAATTTTGATTTGTCCCAAACAGTACTTACTGTTACTACTTTACTGTAGCAAAAATCCAAATTTCGTTATTCAAGCAAAATAATTCAAACAAATAATTCAAGCTAATGTTTAAGAAAACCATTCACGAAGAGTAAACAGTAATCAACTACCCTCTACCTTAACGTACAAGGCCAGTATATGCAAGACAAATGTGCCAATAAGATTAATAATAATTCGACGCTTGAAAGGCAGACGTGACTAAGCGACACTGCGTGAACTTTACAGTAGACTAATTTAATGTTGAAATACCTAAAAAAAATATTCTATTTTAACGAATCTAGCTGTATGATTGAAATTATTTTAATAGACCTAGAAATATTATTTTTTTTCGCATCGAATATGGTTATTGCCTATCATTTATGTATAAAGCAGTTATTGTCTCTTAGTCACGTTTACCTTTCAAGCGTCGATTATGCTCCCGTAGTGTACTGTTTATGGGAATTCATCGTGTAGATCTAACTGTTGTTGAATATACTCACGGAATATATTTAATCGTAAGCGATATATGTTTTTTTTTAAATATGGGGTGGACATTTTAGATACGTGTTTTCCCTGTAAATCTGGCACCGCACTGACATAGATGAGAATAGTCAGTTCGATTTTCAACCCTAGACATCCAAGTTTTTACAATTACTTGCCGATCCGTCTACCTTTAAGATTAGTAACTTTCTACTATGCTTGGAGAATTGTCATGACTGAGGTGTCTACGGTCACCGAGCCACTCAATCGCAAATGAGTAACAGGCCCAATTTCAATTTGCATCATTGCTGCTCATTCATCATCAAAACTATCATTA